TATCTCCGTATATTTACCTACTCCTTCTTTTGTTAAATAATTTATTTTATTTCTCTCGTTTTTTATTCAACAAATTCGAGTGCAGCAGGTTTTTTTACTAACCGAAAAGTTTCGAACTGACTGACTTTTGCACTCGAACTGATCGCAGCGCCACGTGTACCACCGGTGGTACACGATGTGATAACTGCTCTAAACAAGAGAACTAATTATGTATTGATGATATAATGAAATATTGTGTAATAATATATCGATCTTTAGTTAAAATATCAAATGGCCTGAACGACAAGTCAGGCAAAAATGGCTTGGCACGGAACGTTGGTCGTTAGTCCTTTGAAATACAGTCTCGAGTGCGCGTCACGTTGTAAATACTTTATATTTGTCTGAGCGTTAGCGAAGACTATAAGATGAAAAATGTAGGGAAATTACCCACGCTAGGGCCAAAACTACTGGACCAATCTCAACCAAATTTTGAACTTAGCATCCTCATGGCATGGGGCATTGCAGATGAAAATTTGGTTGAGATTGGCCCACTTTAATCCACTTTTTTACCTTGCAATCTTGAAACCATTTACACGAGAGCGACTTGACAATATTCAAAGGAAACCATCCGTTGTTGAAAGGAGAAGATTTATGGCATCAAGAGATTTGTAGTTTTTAAATACATCCTACTTTGAATATAAGTTGTAAATTATCTTTTCATATTGTTTTCCGCATAAATTGCTTGAAGTGATTCCATCACATATCACAAATTTCATCCACAAAAATAAAAAAATTTTAAAACTTAATACAATTGACATAATTTACATGAAGCATAATCGATAAAATAAACAAACTAAATATTATCAAAGTTATAGAAGTTTTTAACAGCATAAAATGAAAAAAAAAGCTCGAGGCTAATGCTATTTATATCTTTTCAAATCATAGAATGAACGATTGATTTTTATTGGTGTAGCACAATCAATCTATATACGCACGCTCAGACTTCACTGTTATCAACAGTAGTCTAGTAAATACATTTATTCTTTACTTTCATCAAAACCGTGTGTGTTTTATTCTCGCTCCTGACAAAAGTTTTGGGAAATATTTTTTTTTACTATCGGGTTATCCAAATTTGACAACTTCCAAGTATGAACCTTCTTCTTCCATAGCACTTTTAGAGGTCTAAAAATCACAACATCCATCGCTTGAAGCAGATGGGTAGCATCAGGGTAAAGGGCACCGAGGATTATTCCATTTTGTTCACAGAACTGGCTTACTTGTAAGCATAAATGAGACGCGTGTCCATCAACAAAAAGTATAACAGGCAAACGAACATTTTCTTTCTTTAACCAAGGGTGGAAAATATTTGCCACTAACTCGAAAAAAGCCTTGCAGGTCATCCACCCTCATGATGGGAAGTTTTCGGCAATTTCCTGCGCAATTCTTTTATATTTAAACAAAACTGTTGTACAGCACCTGCGGCACTGCCCGTGACTAGAATGGTCAGGCATTCCTTTTCATCAGTATTAACTTGCTGATATTTTGTTCTGTCCCCCCTTTTTGTCAAAACCTTACCACCCTGAGGATTCAAAAAAAAAAGCTGTTTCGCCAGTATTGAAAATTCTGCTGGAATCCTCTAAAATATCCCCGTTTCCACTTTCAGTAATGCACGTCCTGACTTCATTAAATCAATTTAAGAGATTTTCCTTGCAAATAGCAGCCCTTGTTTTTGTCAGGTTTTGAGACGTCCTAACAGAAGTCTCAGGATGATTTTTCATAAATCCTTTGACCCACGATCTTTCCGGATGATCATCTTTAAAAGGGTTGGACCGGTTCAAGTCTTTTATAATACGCTGTACGCTGTGGGTAACATGTTCGTTACTCACAGAAAAACTTACTCGAGCCATTTCGAAAATCCAACTTTTTATTGCATTTTCTTTTGCATGAAAAGAACTGCAAACTTTGCATTGTTTGCAAAGACAAACAATGGGTCCATTTTTCTGGACCCAGAAAAATGGGTTTGATTGGGTCCATTTTTCTTTTAATTGGATATTTGTCTTTAATCTTGTATTTTAAAGTTATCCTCGAAAAACTTCCTAGCTGCTGTTTTATACGGAGTGTTATGGAGCCGAACATCTTCCACAGCTGCTTGCATAGTCTCTTCTGCATAGTTTCTGAAGTTACCCTTCATAGGAGGCATCTCAAAATTAACAGAGAAATAAAGTCAGTAGGTGACACGTAGTAATTTAATAGTTCACACCCCATGTCAACTACTGAATAATAGACCATTACAAGTTTCAGTAGTTGACACGGAGTGTATTTAGACAATTTAGCATTGTTTGTTGCCAATTTTAATAAATAAACCTCGCCAATTTTTAGCATTGTTTGTTGCCAATTTTAATAAATAAACCTCTTTTTAAGTTTCAAACAACATAAACGAATGCCTTTTTTACTCACAATGATTAAATAATACAAACTTACAGTACTTACATTTTAACCAAGTCCTTAGCGATTTATACAAGAAAACACTGAAAAATCGTAAAAGCCGTGCGCAAGTTTGATTAATCAGTTGCTATGACATTTTTGAATGGTGGATATGTATAATAGTTCGCAATTAAGCCACTGAAGCGTGACAGTATACAGATTAATAAGGTTTGATGTATTCCAACTTGCGGTTTCCTTATTTATTTACTTTTTTTTTAAAAGTGTCAAGTACTGGTACAGTTTGGTACAGTGTCAACCACTGGTGCTCTTACCTTATACAGAGTATCCACGGCTAAGCGTGACAGCGCGATATTTCATGAACTATTGATGACAAGAAAAAGTGTTTATATAGAAATTGCAGGGTAAAAGGGGTTCTATATTTTGGCGTAAACAAAATTTTTTTATTTTTATTAATATAAAAGATATGATGGTGAAGTTTTGTTTTTTAAATGGAACTATATTTTTTTCGATCACGCGATAGTGCTTTTCAAGACGAATTCATTAAGGTTTAATGTATTTACCCGATTTTTATTAGTTTTCGAGATATAACGCTTAGATATTTAGTGATTTTCAGCATTGACGTCTCGGTTTGAGTAGTAAGTCATAAAATCGGTCTTATTGTTGCGGTAAGTGACGCATGTTTGACTCTGCCTACCGAAACCGATAGCCGGTGTTTACGGTCGGAACGGCAGGTCCGAAGAGTAAGAAACGAGAAAAATATTGTCCATTACAGTCTATGTTTTCCGTATCGAAGATGATATTAATAATTTGGAATGTTGGAACATCTATTTAAATGTTTTAGTAGAAGGTAGGTATAAAAACAATTTGATGTTAATTTTTAAAAATATTTTATGCAAAAAATTTATTCCACATGCCTTCCGCTGTTTAAAATACGGGTTTCTATTCGCTTTATAAATTCGTTTTCGACATTTGCTATGATTTCGGATGGAACATTCACGCACGCAGTTTGGATTCTATTTTTTAAGTCTATTATATTGTGTACTGGTGTTTTGTAAATTTGTTGTTTTATATATCCCGATAAGAAAAAGTTGCATGATGTTAAATCGGGTGACCGTGGTGGCCAAGAAATTGATCCACCATGGCCTATCCATTTTTGTCTGAATATTTTGTTTAGCCAGTTCCTAGTCTCTTTTGCGTAATGTGGCGGAGCTCCATCATGTTGGTACCACATATTTTTCCTATCGACAAGATTTATGTCCTCCAAAATATTAAATAAAAAATTGTTTAAAAATGTAAGGTATGAATGCGCCGTGATAGAGCTTCCAAAATAATACGGTCCATAAATTTATCTATTAAAAATTCTGCACCAAACCAAAATGTTTGTTCTGGATTGGTGATTAACTGGTCTCTTCCAGTGTGGATTTTCTAACGACCCCATTCGCGCATTTTGATGACATATTTGTCCGTTCGTCGAAAATACACATTCATTCGTAAAAAATATATTCCGGAAAAAAGTTCGGTCCTCCGCCAATTTATCTGCAAACCATATTGCAAATTGCAAACGAACTTCAAAGTCTTTATCAAACAATTTTTGAACTTTGATTGGCTTATATGGCATCATATTGTGCTTTTTTAAAATGTTGTGAATAGTGGAATTTGATATTCCACAGCTCTCCGCTAATTTTCGTACACAAGTTGTTGGTTTTTCATTCACCGCTGCCAGGACATAGATTTCATCCATTCATGTCCAACTTTGCTGTGGATGGGGTAACATCTCTAACTATTCTTCCTTGACTTACAATTAGTGATCCTGTTACTTGAAAACGATCACAAATTCGTTTAATCTGCAAAATATAGCGACTTTATATAAACACGAGTACAGAAAAAAAACTTAAGAGAAAACAATATCAATACCTACAGTATTCTCTCCGTAAATGTTACTTTTGCCGGTCTCGATTGTAACATTTACGGTAGAGGTCCTACATTCTTTGTAGTGTGCCGAACGTAGAAAGAGACAGCGATACAAAAGACAAAGAGGGATAGAGTTTCGAGCGTTCGGCAAACATGAAAGGCTTGTGCGTGTTCTGTCTTTTAAATTTAAAAATTAAAATTCTTTATTTTT